ATTTAGATTTTATATTTATATGTTATAGATGACGTAAAATTCGAGATTGCTGTTAAAAGTATGGCGCGTACAAGTGCGGGAGAGTCGTTAAAATTAAAAATATCGCGCGTGTTAATCAATAAACTGATTTTGACGACCCTGACAACCTGTGAGAAAGAGGAGGCCTGAGAGAGACATCGGGCATCGACGGAGAATTTTAAGGTGAATAGCATTATTTATATATTAATTGTTATAAATTACATTAATTCAGTTCATTTATTTGAGCAATTTAAACAAAACAAAATTAGAGATAATATATAATATCTATATAAGTGTCTTAATAAATTCGTTTTTAGTTTACAACGTTATTTTATACTGTAAAATTAGTTAATTTGTCGAGAATGATTTAAACGTGAGCAGGCCAAAGATCGCGATTAAATTATTTATTTAAATATAATCAGATCTCTTACCCATCATAACATTGAGAAAATCCGCGACAAAAGACAATCGTTATTGATCGTTATTAAAATATAATAATATGGATTAATATTTGTAACATACATTTGTTATTAAATGTATTTGTCTTTATTACAAGCAGCTGATATTTTGTGGAATATATTATATAACAATGATATATGTATATAATATTTATCGATGCTCAATTTTGAGATAATTTAAAAAATTGTAATAAAACATAAGTTTGTGTCTAACTAATTGATATAATTATAAAGATCTAATGATCTTTATAATTTACGCTACGTGATTAGAAAGTTAAATTTGTCAACGATGTCAGATTTTGTCTTATTTTATTGATCGCGCTGAATTTAGGTCATTAAAACGAAAATGTTAATTATAAATGTAAATAATTGTTTATGTCCATGATAATGCATTGTCCTCAGTATTTTTACCGAAATCTCTGCATCCATTATTGAACCAAAGCTTGACGACTTGTTAATCTACATGAACATAGAAAATTTAATCAGTAAAAAATTTTAAATAATTATTAACAAAGTTCTTTTTTAATTATGTTCGTTGTTTAATATTAACAGGTCTAAATTGTTACTATTACGAAACTTTAACTTATAATTTATAACTCGGAAAGAAGAATTCGAGAATATGTATGTAAATATTTCATAGATCCGAAAAGAGATCCTAATACAAATGTATATAAATATACATTTTTTATTTATATATTTGTTACAAATCGACATATTATTTAAGTATAAGATTATCTAGATACGGGTTGAAAATTAGATTTATAATGTTTTAAAATACAAATGTATATAATGTATAAATGATATAATAACTGATTCTAATATTAATAATTTTTAAACAATAGTGCTAATGTATTAAATTTAATGTGCTTATTGTTTATACAAATGCATGCAAGTAATTGAGAAGAGATAAAAGTTATATTTTATTATTTATAAAAGTTAATATTAAAATTTAAAGTGAAAGACCAAATGCGCAAATAATTTTGATTTCGGCGTGCGACTCAGATATATTTTATTGCAATTTTTATGTATACATCTTCTCTCATATTTCTGAATATGATTAGTGGTTTTAGTAATTAATTGATAGTTTACCATAATCCAATCGTTGATTGAGCGATTGTTGCACTGGATTATATCTATGAGTAAACTCTAAATGATTTCTTAGTTCCGTCAAAGCAGATGTTGACACATCTAATCTGGTCTCACACATTTCACACTGTACGTCTTCATTTTGTGTTATGACCGGGTCGGGATTATTTAATGACAATTTATTGGCCGCAATATAATCAAAGTACCAAACACCCATTTGATCAATAATTGGTTGGCTGTAATTTGGATGTGCATTTCTTATGTGTTGTATTAAAAAATCCACGTCTTGAATTACTGAATTTGAAATGGTGGATACAAAATTTGCATTCTGCATGTGCGTTTATTAATTTAAAATGGTTCATTAACCAGTGTCTATCCATTGTTAATATGATGTTTTCTTTACTGTCGCGAAGTGTTTTACGAAGAGATGTGTTTGAGATCGCGCGAGAAGAGATTCTAATTAAATACAAGAAATGATCGTGAACAAATATATGTTTCCGTTAAATGACAAACATACACAGTTGAAATCTGTTTTTTGTCTCAAGTTTATTATTTTTGATCATGTGTTCACAATAATATATATTAGAGAACGAAAATATGTATATAATCTGCGTTTAAAAATCATATTCCGGAATGCTCCATTTATTTCTATAGCTCTATTATTTGAATTATAATTAAATTTTGAATAAATCTTATTGCACGAATAATATGTTAAATTTATATAAAATTTGTAATTAAATAATGTTTTGTGAAATAAGCAATATATTATATTTTATGAGAGACATTTTAATTCTAAAGATTCTATTGCAATTACCTAAACATAAATCGAGTTTTCATATAAAGGCTACACAGATCGAATTTTCATAGGTTTAATGAATAGCCAGGAATTTAATTATACGTATATATAGATATAGATTATTATTATTCTAATTAATTATTAGATTATTATTGTTACGCACCAAATATAAAGTTTGGCGCGTCCAATAGTAATTTTTTGAACTAGTTATTTTATTTAATTTGAACGCTGCTATAATTTAGATTATATTTATACGTTGTAGATGACGTAAAATTCGGCAGTGCCATTAAAATTAAAAGTATCGCGCGTGTTATTCAATAAACTGATTTTGACGACCCTGACAACGTGAGAAAGAGGAGGCCTGAGGGAGACTTCGGGCATCGACGGAGAACTTTAAGGAAAATATCATTATTTATATATTAATTGTTATAAATTACATTAATTCAATTCATTTATTTGAGCAATTTAAACAAGCGAAAATTAGAGATAAATATAATATCTATATAAGTGTCTTAATAAATTAGTTTTTAGTTTACAACATTATTTTATACTGTAAAATTAGTTAATTTGTCGAGGACGATTTAAACATGAGCAAGCCAAAGATCGTGATTAAATTATTTATTTAAATATAATCAGATCTCTTACACATCATGGCATTGAGAAAATCCGCGACAAAAGACAATCGTTATTGATCGTTTTAAAATATAATAATATGGATTAATATTTGTAACATACACTTGTTATTAAATGTGTTTGTCCTTATTACAAGCAGCTGATATTTTGTGGAATATGTTATATAACATTGATATATGTATATAATATTTATCGATGCTCTCAATTTAGAAATAATTTAAAAAATTGTTAATAAAACATAAGTTTGTGTCTAACTAATTTGATATAATTATAAAGATTTAATGATCTTTATAATTTACGCTACGTGATTAAAAGTTAAAGTGATAAATTTGTCAACGATGTCAGATTTTGTCTTATTTTATCAATCGCGCTGAATTTAGGTCATTAAAACGAAAATGTTAATTATAAATGTAAATAATTGTTTATGTCCATGATAATGCATTGTCCTCAGTATTTTTTCCGAAATCTCTGCATCCTTTATTGAATTGAAGCTCGACGACTTGTTAATCTACATGAACATAGAAAATTTGATCAGTAAAAAATTTTAAATAATTAATATAACAAAGTTCTTTTTTAATTATGTTCGTTGTTTAATTTTAACAAGTCTAAATTGTTACTATTACTAAACTTTATCATATAATTCATATAGTCAGAAAAAAGAACTCGAGAATATGTATGTAAATATTTTCTAGATTCCAAAAGAGATCATATGAAATTTTCATGTATGCATCTTCTCTTATACTTCTGAATATGATTAGTGGTTTTAGTAGTTAGTCGATAGTTTACCATAATTCAATCGTTGATAGAGCTCTATTCTTCCCTTTCGTCCCTTGAGATGATATTATTTCTTGATTCACATGAATCGATATGATTTATTAGGTCCGTCAAAGCAGGTGTTGGCACACGATATTGGGTATCACATAAGTGACACTTTGCGTGTCCACTTTGTGTTATGTAGAAGGCACGGGCCGCCAAGTATTCATGATGTGCATTCATTATATGTAGTATTAAAAGTTCCATGTTTTGAATTACTCGGATTTGTTGTAAACAATACTTGCATACTGCACGTACGTTTATTAATTTAATATGTTGCATGATCCAGTGTGTATCCATCGTTAATATGATGTTTTCTTTACTGTCGCGAAATGTTTTACGAAGAGATGTGTTTGAGATCGCGCGAGAAAAGAGATTCTAATTAAATACAAGAAACGATCGTGAACAAATGTATGTTTCCGTTAAATTGACAAACATACACGGTTGAAATCTGTTTTTTGTCTCGAGTTTATTATTTTTCATCATGTGTTTACAATAACATTTATTAGAGGGAACAAAAATATGTATATAATCTGCGTTTAAAAATCATATTCCGGAATGCTCCATTTATTTCTATAGCTCTATTATTTGAATTATAATTAAATTTTTTATAAATCTTAATGCACAAATAATATGGTAAACTTATATAAAATTTGTAATTAAATAATGTTTTGTGAAATAAGCAATGTATTATATTTTATGAGAGACATTTTAATTCTAAAGATTCTATTGCAATTAAACTAAATATAAATCAAGTTTTCACATAAAGGCTACACAGTTCGAATTTTCATAGGTTTTAATGGATAGCCAGGAATTTAAGTATACGTATATATAGATATAGATTATTATTTATTCTAATTAATTATTAGATTATTATTGTTACGCACAAACATAAAGTTTGGCGCGTTTAATAGTAATTTTTTAAATTAGTTATTTTATTTAATTTGAACGCTGCTATAATTTAGATTTTTTATTCATATGTTACAGATGACGTATAATTCGGCAGTGCCGTTAAAAGTATCGCGCGTACAAGTGCGAAAGTGCCGTTAAAATTAAAAGTATCGCGCGTGTTAATTAATAAACTGATTTTGACGATCCTGACAACGTGAGAGAAGGAGGATGCCTGAGAGCGACATCGGGCATTAGCGGAGAACTTTAAGGTGATTTATCATTATTTATATATTAATTGTTATAAATTACATTAATTCAATTCATTTATTTGAGCAATTTCAACAAGAAAAAATTAGAGATATTATATAAATTCTATACAAGTGTCTTAAAAAAATTTGTTCTTAATTTATAACATTATTTTGTACTGTAAAATTGGTTAATTTGTCGAGAACGATTTAAACGTGAGCAAGCCAAAGATCGTGATTAAATTATTTATTTAAATATAATCAGATTTTTCACATCATGGCATTGAGAAAATCCGCGACAAAAGACAATCGTTATTGATCGTTATTTAAATATAATAATATGGATTAATATTTGTAACATACACTTGTTATTAAATGTGTTTGTCCTTATTACAAGCAGCTGATATTTTGTGGAATATGTTATATAACATTGATATATGTATATAATATTTATCGATGCTCTCAATTTAGAAATAATTTAAAAAATTGTTAATAAAACATAAGTTTGTGTCTAACTAAATTGATATAATTATAAAGATTTAATGATCTATATACTTTACGCTACGTGATTAGAAAGTTAAAGTGATAAATTTGTCAACGATATCAGATTTTGTTTTATTTTATCAATTGCGCTGAATTTAAGTCATTAAAACGAATATGTTAATTATAAATGTTGTAAATAATTGTTTATGTCCATGATAATGCATTGTCCTCAGTATTTTTTCCGAAATCTCTGCATCCTTTATTGAACCGAAGCTTGACGACTTGTTAATCTACATGAACATAGAAAATTTAATCAGTAAAAAATTTTAAATAATTAATATAACAAAGATCTTTTTTAATTATGTTCGTTGTTTAATATTAAAATCTAAATTGTTACTATTAAACTTTATCTTATAATTTATATAGTCAGAAAAAAGAACTCGAGAATATGTATGTAAATATTTTTAGATCCCAAAAGAGATCCTATAAAATTTTCATGTATGCATCTTCTCCTATATTTGTAAATATGATTAGTGGTTATAGTAGTTAGTTGGTAGTTTACCATAATTCAATCGTCGATAGAGCTCTGTTGTTCTACTTCGTCACATGATGAGTCGATATGATCTGTTGATTCACTTGATTCGATATGATCTGTTGATTCACATGATTCGATATGATCTATTGATTTACATGAGTTGATATGATTTATTAGAACCGCCAAAGCAGGTGTTGGCACACGATATTGGGTATCACAGAAGTGACATTTTGCGTGTCCATTTTGTGCTATGTGGAAGGCACTGGCCGCCAAATATTCCAAGTCTCCACCAACTGCATCAATATTTTGATTCCAGTAATCGAGATGTGCGTTTCTTATGTGTTGTTTTAAAAGTTCCATGTTTTGAATTACTCGGAATGCTTGAAAACAATAATTGCATTCTGCACGTACGTTTATTAATTTAATATGTTTCATGATCCAGTGTGTATCCATCGTTAATATGATATTTTCTTTACTGTCGCGAAATGTTTTACGAAGAGATGTGTTTGAGATCGCGCGAGAAAAGAGATTCTAACTAAATACAAGAAACGATCGTGAACAAATATATGTTTTTCTTAAAATGACAAACATACAGTTGAAATATGTTTTTTGTCTCGAGTTTATTATTTTTGATCATGTGTTTACAATAATATAAAATATATTAGAGGGAACAGAAATATGTATATAATTTGCGTTTAAAAATAATATTCCGGAATGTTCCACTTATTTTTATAGCTATATTATTTAAATTATAATTAAATTTTGTATAAATCTTATTGCACAAATAATTAAATGTTAAATTTATATAAAATTTGTAATTCAATAATGTTTTGTAAAATAAGCAATATTTTATATTTTGAGAGACATTTTAATTCTAAAGACTCTGTTGCAAAGAACTAAATATAAATCAAGTTTTCATATAAAGGCTATACAGATCGAATTTTTATAGGTGTTAATGGATAGGCAGGAATTTAATTATATGTATATATAGATATATGTAGATTGTTATTTATTTTAATTAATTATTAGATTATTTTTGTTACGCACCAAATATAAAGTTTGGCGCGTCCAATAGTAATTTTTTGAACTAGTTATTTTATTTAAATTGAACGCTGCTATAATTTAGATTTTGTCTTTGTATGCTACAGACCACGTAGCCTGAATATCAACCACTCCGCTGTTGTGCATCGGTGTCGGTGAGTAAGCTAGACTTTGATTTAATTTTGAGGTAACGGATTTATAGATCGTAGTTGTAGATTGTAGATTTGTAAATTGTAGGCAGATCCGTTACCTTAATATAAAAATAAAATAAAATATAAAAATGCGAAAATAAAATAAAATAAGCAAATTTTTCTGCTTTGAGAATATTTTACGAAATGTAGATACAGCAACGTTTTGTTGGAGGTAAGGATAAAAAGAAAAAGCGAAACAATCCCAATTTTATCTGTCTATAACACGTATTTCTTGTTCATGTATATACTATATTGCACGAGTATGTAATGAAACAAACGAAGAAAGAAAATGTGCGTTCTCTGAAATACAAACGAACATATTTCACTCAGAGTGCATGCATTTGAGCGTCCTACACTTTCGTGTAGTATAGTGATACACATAAACGACAAATATTCGAGTAGAGAGGATTCTTTCACCGTTTCGTGTAGAGAGGATTCTTTCACCGAGATTTTCATTTCTCTTTCGTATCCCTTTTTCCAGTTTCATGTGTAACAATATCATATTCAGGAATCCTGCATTTATTTCTATTATTATAAGTAAATTTTTTCTAAATCTTATTGCACAAATAATGCAATAATTTTTAAAATATGGTAAATTATATAAAATTTGTAATTAAATAATGTTTCGTGAAATAAGCAATATATTATATTTTATGAGAGACATTCTAATTCTAAAGACTTCATTGCAATTAATTATATAAATTATAAGTAAATTTTTTATAAATCTTATTGCACAAATAATATGGTAAATGATATAAAATTTGTAATTAAATAATGTTTTGTAAAATAAGCAATATATTTTATTTTATTAGAGGCATTTTAATTCTATAAAAACTCTATAGCAATTAACTAGACTAGTTTCAAAAAGCTATGATATGGACAGAAGCAGTCTCAGTTTTGTAATTAATTTTTAATTAAGCGTTTTATTTATTCAGATTACATCGATTTTAATGTTGAATCAACTTCTTCGAAAAATTATTGTCATTCTGTCATATGATAGTGGAGCCATTTTTTTAAATTAAATGATTTATTTAAATTTAAACCTTTATTCCACGTTTAATATTCCGTACATGGAGCTCGATATAACTGCGTAAAAATTAAATAATAGGTGTGAATCATGTTCGGTGATATCAGACTGATGTCCAAAATTATAATCGCAGATCGCACGCTCAGCATTCTAAATACCGTTTATTTTAAAACGAACGTACAAGCACGATATGTGACTCATATACTTTTTACACATGTATATATAAATGTTATACAGATTACTCGTGTATTTTGAAAATATGCAAATTAGCAAAATAATTATTCTTGCAACAGCTTTTCGTGTCTCTTGCAATTTTCAAAAGACACTTGCAAATGATATATTTAAAAATTCACGTAGTCCTTAATTTACTTTCGAAGCAGCACACTGTGAAAAAAGTTTGTTAAATTAACAAATATTTAGTTCAATACCTTTCAAATTAATCATTTATTTGAAACAAATAAATATTTGTTTTGAAAAGGATTTTCTTATATCAACTAAGTATATTTTTTAAATCAAATAAATATTTATTTGTTTCAAATAAATGATTTATTCCAACGCAACGTATTGAATTAAATATTTGTTAATTTAACAAACTTTGTTTTCAGTGCAGTTTCTGCTCTTATACTTTGTTTGTAGAACTTTGCGAACGCAAAGTCCAAGTTTTTTCCGAAGTCGATTTCCGAACGCAGAAATTCCGTCCATGCATAAGTCATGGCTTAGGAACGAACTCTTTGAAGTTTCTTATACGGTTCACGCTGACGCTGCTGTTCGTCGGTCGAAATAGAGATGACTTGTCTCACCGTGTGCGTTCAACTAGCCTGTCTCACGCATAAATAAAATTGTCTATGCTAAATACGCGCTTCGCGTTGGCGAATGCGCCCGCATGCGTGTTCAGAAAACATAGTCGGATTTACATGTATACGCAATGCGGACATGTGAAGTTTTACTGTTAGTTAGGTTTTTATAAAACATTCTCTAATTATTTATTTATTTAATTAGAATTAAAAAAAAAAAACGTGCAGAGATCTTGCAAATTTAGTATTTTTGCCTGTTGTGCAGGAAATTTATATTCAATTTTTTATATAATATAATATTATATAAAAAATTATTAATAATAAATTATTGTAATATTATAATGTAAATACATATGTAAAAATAACTGCAAAATCTCAAAATTTGATTGACTGGATTAAATTGCATCTGAAAATGTTATAGAATTTATCTCAACCTAGCTTAATTAAAAACTAACGCAATTGAATGTATTATAAATAATCACAAATATGAAAAATGAGCTAAATGATAAATTTGAGGTAATTATCACATTTCTGGACTGGATAGAAACAAATTCCTTGACAAAACAATTCACTTCGCTCGCGTAGGTATGTTAATTAATATGCACACAATTTTTGTGCCCAATATGGCAAAGCTAGAAAAGAAACAGTTATGTTCGTAATACAGTAATTTAACATACTAGACACGTGCAGCTATATGCAGCTCCAGATTCGATATTATTTTATCTTGTTCCACAAAGAACAATTTTTAATTATCCAATCTTTGTAAGATTCTTAATTAATACATTTCACACGCGATAAAAATATCTCTAAAAATTTATTATTAATATATTTATTAATATATATATATATATATATATATATATATATATAATATGTGAAATATATTAATTAAAGATCTTACAGATATTAGATAATGAATAATTGTATATTAATATATTGGATAATTAAAAATTAATATATTAATGATTATTAGATATTAAGATACTAAGAGTTTAATGATGCTCACTCGGAAAAAAATTAGCAACTAAACTAAATTTTAGCTATAGCGACTAATATTTTTAGCTACAGTTTACCGGAGAATTCTATAGCTAAAAAATTAGTGACCATAGCTAAAATTTATGCATGATACGTGTAACATAAAGACAGCTAAAAAGCTATAGTAGGAAATTTTTTTCCGTATGCATACTTTAATCTAAAAATAAAAGTAATTAATCTTGAAAGCCCGAAAATAACCGCGCATACATACACACTTACCTTTCTTCTTTCCCCAAGCTATTTATTTCTTCCGAATGGCTCAGGTCACGAACCGCTGGTAGCAATCGCGAGAATTGGCACCGACCGGTGTGACTCACCGTTTTTTCACGTGTCATCGGCGATCTATTTCCGCCACCCGGTATATTAATCCGGAACGACGGGTGCCCCGTCGCGCACAAACAATAACGATAATGACTTAACAGGCCCATCTGCTGCCCAGGTACAGGGACCGAGGGAAGAAATGGGTCCGATGGAAGCCGCTGTCAACGGCTTCTAAATGATGATAATGGAAATCAATCTATGCCCTGGGACGTGCGTGCATCACGCGTTCACGCATGAGCGATTGCTATCGTGCGTGTTATTTAGATTTAGTAGTCAATGCTTTTAATTACGCGTGGTAATTTGCTTAAAATTTTGTATGACAGGACGTAAAAGTTAATTGAACCGGAATAGAAGAGTGTTGGGGAAACGTACAGATAATGGGCTCACGCTGATATAATTGACGTCTGTTATAATTAATGAATTTTTATAGGACAGATATAGGAATTATTTTAGGATTTTTTTATTTTCATACTGAAAAACATTTTGTTGCATTAACAAAAATTTTGTTTGAAAATGAAACTGAATTATTGGTTGAAACAAACAACTGATTTGTTGTGCAAGAGATGCTTGTTGCATTCAAAGGAATTCTAATAGATTCAACCAGTATGTCTGTTTCGTTCGCATTTTCGAACAGAATTACATGAACAGTTAAGTACACTGAAAAAAAATTAAATTAATAAATATTTATTTCAATACTGCTTTATAAATCATTTATTTGAAACAAATAAAAATACTTATTTGTTTTGAAAAAAATTTTCTTAACGTCTGTGAAGTTGGCCCCTTATTGTTTAAATTTTCAAAAAATTATTAGAATTTCGAGTGCCCCTGGAAGAGTTCTAGATAGAGTTCTTTATCGGCCTTCTTCCGAGGGCACTCTCATAATTTTTCGAAAATTCAAACAATGAGGGGCCAACTTCACAGACGTATTTTCTGAAATAAAATAAATATTTTTCACATTAAATCAATATTATTATCCAATAAATGATTTATGGGGCAGTATTAAAATAAATTACTCATTCGAATTCAATAAATTTGTTTTCAGCGTATTAATACGCGATACAACGAAAAATAATAATTTATCGGCGCGGATAACTTAACTTTCCCGGTACTGGTGATAAATCTCTCTTCTTCGGCCTCTTGTCCTCTCGATTACCA